ACGCTTAGGCCGGATCAAAGTAGCCAATCAGTACCAACAAATCACTTTTCTGACAAATGTTATTGACGAAACCAGTAGGGGTGTTACTAGAATGGAAAACAATGATAATGGGTACTAACTCCATCGACAGATGGATTGCACATAACGCACTTTTCAGCGAAATGAATGAAATCTTTAAGTTAATTGCTCTATATTACTCTTCGTTGGCTTTATCAAGGATATTGGCACTGGTTTTGCAAATAAAGAAGCCCTCACAGCGTAAACCGCTTTTGCTGGCGTAAAACAATATTTTATAGCCTTCAGCTTAAAAGTGACTTTGCAATCGCAAAGTATGCTGGTAGAAAACTGTTTCCAGTTCAAGTTGAGAACAGTAACTGGAAAGTTCGTGGATACTAGCATCCAACTGTAAAAGATGGCCAAAGCCAGAAAATCTGATAATGGCTCAAAATCCCGCTCCTAATGCCCATCGAATTCAACGATCATACCATTGCTAATCTTCAGCTCAGATGCCAGAGGTAAGGTTATTTAACTAATGATGAGCAGAAGGGAACGGAAACATTTGAAAAGGGAATCTGACTAGCAAAAAAAAAACAATAGTCGCCTTTATTCCCACGTCTACTACCACCTTATTGCCTCCTACAACAACCGGCTCCACCAACGATAGCAATAACACTCAAAACAAACTTATCGCTTTCGGTTCTACTACCAATTCGCAATTTCCAGGCATGGAAGGCAAAACTTAATAGAAGAAAAAAGGACATTCAATTTGGAGGCAAATGTCTGCAGATGTTATAAACGGATCGAACATCAAAGTTTCTTTACAAAACTAATAATCAACCCAACCACCACTAGTGTTTTGCTCATTATCATCAACTTGACAGGCAATCTTATCCGCACATTAAAAAGACCGAAGAGAAAGGCCATATCGCTGCATCCCAATGGCGAATTACTTACTAGAAGCGAGGAAAATTCCTAAACATCACCAGAATTACCAACGAAATACCGAGACTGCAAACGATAGCACCAAGCCGAAAAAATGGTGAAATGCATTTTCGCAGAGGAACATGGAGCGATGAAGATAATTTTTGCATAAAAACCACCCAACCGCCCTTAATGACTACGGTTATCTGTATCACAAAAATAGACGAATCTGTTGCAACAATCAAAAGAGGGCCTAACACAACGCTATTTTTACTCACATTCCACTGAGAGATGCTGAAGTTAGACCAGAAGGAAAAGGATCCTCTAGAACGACCGGTAAACACAAAATAGCTTGTAAAATTTGCGATACGAAGAATTTAGATCATCCTTTATGTACAAGCATCTGTCCACACTGAAGATGAGATTAAGCTAGTTGTGCAGTGGTAGCCGTGTCGGCAAATCTTACTAGCGCCAAAGGCAGAAGTAATTTCTGTGTAAAAGGTAAATACTAGGAGGTTCAGTGCAAATGGGGGCAGGGGAAATTATGATAATCAAATACCTTAACAAATAAAGCCATTGATGAAAAAATGTTTTAATCTAGTCCTTCGATTTACCACTTTTAAAGATTACGACTTCAATCGATAAAAGAACTGAAGAGAACTAATTGCTCACCAATTGCGCGGCAGGAACATGGAGTGATCCATAAGCACACATCCAGACAGGAGAATGAACCAAGCCGAGGCAGGGTCGCCTCGCCGGAAGAGGAGAGATTCGCCACGCACCCGCATCAGGCGGGCTAGGCGTGCAGCCTCCTGCAATGCTGCCTCACGTTGGATACGCGGACGCAGGTGCTGCAGACCTTCTATACCGCCCAAGAAGTCGTGCAGTAGTACCAACTCCTGCAAGATGAACACCGAGCTATCATAAAAACTTGAACTTTAAATTGATGGACGCCGGCGCGCAAAGGCGAGACAAGTGACGGGAATTGAAGAATGCCGCATTTTATCCAGTTTAGAAAAAGGAAAATATCTTAGGAAACAAAGACAGCATCTTTTCCCCAACTCAATGTACTTTATGTGTATTCATGCACTTACTTCCTTTCCTTTCGAAATTCAACATTATTAATGTTTGTCGATTCAGTTTAGTCGCTTTAGCGCTGACAGCCTACTCCACATGATCACGGATGCGCCGAACTCTCCCAATTGCAACTGTTGAGGCTTGTTTTATGCTTTGCGCTTTTACAGAAAGATGGGTCTGCCAATACAAGTTCAGTGGAGTGGCTAGTGAGATGAGAGCTTTAGACGGCTAGTCAATGCGAAAATGCAAGCGTCATATTGGTGAACATCTCATTACCATACAGTACCACGTCTGATGCCTTCTACGCGAATAATTAAGAGCATCCGCATATTGTACTTTATGTCTCCGTCCATAAGAAAGCACGTTCATGCACGAAACACAGCTGTTGCCTCCAATCTTGATTAGCGAGCAACTAGCCTAGTACGCAGCATCTGCACAAAGTTAAGGTGTGGTAGCAGTGTTAACACATGCATGATTTTGGAGCCATCGAAAAATGCGTCTGAATGACGATGCCTTCGTAGTCCTACCTACCTAGTACTTAGCGGTTCAATTTTGGTAAACACTAAACGCGGTAGGTCATGATGTAAGCCGCTACCTCACAAACATAGGAAAAACTTGACGTCCCAAAACTCTACGTTCAATTCCTAAATCAACAAGGGAAAAACGAAGCTATTCGATAGCCAAATCAGACCCTTTTGCCAAGTGCCACTTCATCAACATAGCAACACTGGAAGTAGGAATGGGAGATAACCACAGATAAAATCGTGAAGACGCATCCCCTTGACATAAGTGGTCGCCCATTCAACATTAATTCACCTCCGACAGAGACCTCCATCGTTGTTTTACCAGTTTCGTGATTTAAAACTAGAAGATGCCTAGTTGCTGACCCTTCCATAAGTCAGTGAACCTATTGCACTTTGATAAGGAAAAAATATCAAGTTTACGGATGGCAGAAGGTGCATATCTTCAAGCAAGAGGAATGGAATAATATTAACTATTTGAAACAATAAGTTAGCAAATAGTCAACTTTGACTCGCCAAAATGAGGAAAGTCAAAAAAAGGGATTCACAGTGAAGGACGGAAAGAGTCATATTACGTCTATCAAATACCGTCCATTTGGCTTTAAGCTGGATTTGTCTGTCAGAAGAAATCTGACCACTCATGAAAAAAAACCATGCATGAAGGCAATGAGGAGAAGAAAAAGGGAATCATTTTGACACTGCTAATCGTTAACTGCACATTAAATCAGCCTTGATGCAGGCTAAAGCTATTACCACGTCAACGCTGCTAGATTATGCAAGAGGGAGTGCACTAGCTTGCATTTATGAGGCAAATAAAATGCCCAATTTATGAATGGAGATGTAAGATAGACGAGATAGCCTACTCTAGCTCCCTCTTTATCACATTCAACATTACCTTAAAGCAATTTATTTGGGCAAAAAAAAAAACACCTGCTTTGTCCCAAAGGAAAAGCAAGCAAAGTTGCAATCCACGAGACGAAAAAAGTAATCACTTTTTGACAAATCATTCTGGAAGAAGCGAAATGTAAGTTATACCAATCGTTTCATAACTCTAACGTGTCTACGGCGGGATAATTTCGCAACAGCGAGATACATGATAAAGTTGAGGTACTGTGACAGTACTAAGCAAATTATTCTCGCCTTTCAACGATCAGAGAAAATGACAGCTTTTATTGATGCAAAATTGCAGAAAAGAGGTTGAATAGAACGAAAAATTTTCGAAAGCTTCTATTGCTCTCCCGCAATGTACCACCTGGTTATCACCGCCACAATAAAATTCATCCACAGAGTAAAATACAATGAGGATGTAAAGCAGCCTCATAAGTCCATAATGAAGTTATAGATCCTTTGGACATTCTGACTGGTGGAGCAGCGTACAACTAGGAATGTCAAAAATTGTGCGACCATTATGTGTGCACTTATTAAAGTGGACCATTTGCATTTGGGGAGCTGAAGCTGTGATCATCGTAGAGACCAAAATTATTTTGACTTACGAGGTTAGAATAAACGCAATTGGTAGCAAATACCTCCTCTCATTTTGATCGAGCTTGAAGGTCTAGCGGTGATGGCAAATAAAGCTACCAAGGTTATGCTATTGTGCTCTCACTAAAGAATTTGTTTTTTTACAAAAGACACAAGGCAACATCAATAAACCTTAATTACAACATCAGTAAGAATAATTCACTGGATTTATTGATGGCGATTGCCAAGTATCAATTAAATCACCCGCATCCAACTTTCTGCAGTCGATCTAATGATCATGATGAAAGGGAGGATTGGAAAAGAAGTATATCGTGATTTTATGAGCCAAAAAATTTTACAAAGCAAACTACCTTCGTGGCCCAAGGTATTGAGAAAATAAAATCTGCAGGCATCAATATCAGGTAGTCGATAAGAAAATGACATTCCAATTACAGTACTCTATAAATGCAACACAACGATCATAAAAATCGAATTAAATGCGGTCCTTTATCGGGAACCCTCACACATCATCAGTCCACTTAATTCTCATAATAATATCAAGCAAAGTGCTAGAAAACAGCACTACTCATAAATATCTTATTAAAAATGGGGAAAACAGAAAGTCTGCACAAATAACGACAAAAGCAAGAGATATACGACCCACCAAAGTGTCTTCAAGCCAAAACCATCAAAAAAGACGGTACAAAAATTCGAAAAAAGCTACTTTAAAAAAGTATGAAAATCTGTGTACGGGAAACTTAAAAAAAATTTTTTTTATCATTTTACTGGGAATGAATTCAAACGGAGTGAAAATGAACAGGAAGATTGTGAACCGTCTAGGATGTTATGAAGACGATAAAAACAGCAAATGCAGGATTAAAAAAAAGTGCAGGGAACCGAGGAACGCAAATGCAGAGTTGTGAAGCAAAAGCGGCAGAAGCACTCACCTCATTTGACCTCTTGTCTGGGGTTATTGCCAATATTCGCAGGATCTCAGAGTCCTCCGAACACATTTCTACAAGGGATTATCTTCCTCAAAAATGCTACGAGGACTGAAAACACTCACCTACACATGAGAACACCCCCACCGTGTTGGCACAAAGCATTTATAAAATCCGCTACGTTAGATCGCACAGACAAACAAAAAGTAAATAGTTACAGAATTACAGAACTTAGGAATTTTTATTAACTTTTCTTAACTGATAATAATAAAAGTCACGTAAATTTTGTCTATATACACTCAAAGGTAAACTAAACCAAAAATGGAATTTAAAATGCAACGGATAAGAATTTTGTTTCCCTAAACTATTTATTCGATAATAAATGGCATGCAGACAAAAAGCCTAGCCCCAGCAACAGAGGCATGACGCCTGCTTGCTCTGAGCATTTAAACAAACAGGCGAGCACTTAGTTTCCTCTTAACGGGATAAATTCCTCTGTTACAAGGTGATTAGTGGCTCTGTTTCGCAGCCGCAAACTGGCTGCACTAGTCATTTACAGCCATGATAATGGGAATTGGGCCACAGGTATAACAATACTTCGTTTATTTGATTACTTGCCTAAATAGCAGTTTCTTCGAAGTACCTTGCATTTTTCACGTGATGTAGACTTCAGAATAGGCCTTAATTTCGCTTTTACCTTTTATACAGCCACGTCCACTGCATTCTGCTACCAAAAGGTTGTCCTCGGTACAGTACACTGGTGGCAGCAAGAGGCAAGCACGATTATGTTTTGATTTCAATGCTGGTTTTCACCGTATGTGACAAATCAGTAGTGTGAATGAAGTGCCTGCACCTTGGGCGGGAGAATCTCTGGCTTTTCTACAGCATAAGTGTTGGCATTCGGCATCTACTCCACTCCACTGTTCTACGGACCAGCTATTAACAACTGAAGCGACACCGCCACGGACCAGTTGGTGAAGTTTTGTCTCCGAGTTTCCCATACCGAATTCGCGCATTAGGGACTGCGTGTAACCTCGTCGCTTTGTCTCGCACCTCTTTTTGGGCCAGTGTTCCAACACGAAATTCTGGTCATATTTGATAGTTGACGGGGACATACATCTTGATTTCCAGCTTGGAGACCAGACTTAACTCCAGATCTAATTGAAGCGACTGAGAGTGTCAACTACGTTCCCTCAATCTTATGTGATCGATGACTGACGGTGTTAGGTCGCAGGTGTTTTACTACACTCCCAAATAGGTTGCAAACGGTGATTGCATCGTAGTTCAAAAGAAGATGGAAGCAATGTTATACTGTCTTTATTTGGCCACCTTCATTATATGTGGTCACTTGTGCCACCGTCTTGCTTTTGCAGCGTGGGCTAACCTTCGAATTAGGTCAGAGTCCCATTTCTGTACTTCTGTTTGAATGTGCGCATTCAGGCGTACCAAATGACTTTTTCCACCGAACGGGAATCTCAGATAATTACAAGTGTAGTTCCGATTAAAAACATCTTGTCAGCATAATATAAAATGCGGTTGAAGCCAAAGGTAGGCGAAATTAGCTGTACTAACGATGGGAAGAATTTTGGAATTTTGCATTCTATACACATTCACATCTCTCGCACTTCAGAAGCTTTCCATAATCTGTGAAAACTAAGACTGAAGTCCTAATCAAGTCGAGTGTACTTTCTGCTGTCAGCAGTGTAGAGCTTCGAGTCATCCCATTTGATAATGCCTGTATTCAGACAGAAGGCTTTAAAGTGGGAACTTGGCATGGCTCGGAGAATAGACCCACTCTGCATAAGCTAGATGGACGCCCAAAAACTAATGCCCAAACAGGCAGCTGAATGAACCTAGTATTATCCAGTCATCCTTCGAAAACGGAAGAAGTCGTCATAACCAAGCAGAATTTCGGCATTAAAGTAACAAAGGCAGTCAAATTTATTGTAATACCGATGTTGTTTACTGCCTCGTCCAAGTGACTATGAGGATTTTTTTCGATATTTTATCGACTTGGATTTAGAGAGAACAATGAAGTTTCGACTTAACATATGCATCACCCTGAAACCAGCCATCTGGGCCAAGGCAATATGACGACCCTGTAAGCGACCGTAATCCTGATCGCGAGTCAAACAAACAGCTTATTACAATTAAACTTCTCACCGGATCCAATGACCCGTTAAACAGATAAAAACGAAATTGCTTACCGAGTCTTCGTAACCCAAATAAAGGATTTAAGCCATCATAAAGTACATCGCTCTCAAAAGTAGTCTCGGAGTAAAACCTTTCGAGCTATGCCTACAAAGTGCATAATACCTTCGGGTTGTGTGCAGGTCCAGGTCAATCGACAGTCGATCTTGGTACCACATTTCACGGGATATGCCTTTTGAACACAGTTGTGTGCATGTTTCTGCCACTACGGCACAGCACAAAAGTCGCACCTTACTTACTCGTGACGACTACCACTCTTGTTTTGTGTTTCTGCTTACGTGAGGCCTCGGAGCCAGCTACAATTTATTGCTTGGATCACCGCTCTAGTTATATCCATTTTTTCACTCAAATATCGACAAATTCTGCATCAACACCTGCGTCATAAGGGCGTCAGAACATAGCAAAAGTCCTCACCACTATGGACTGAATTAGAACACCAACCACCATATCAGCTAGGTAGAAGATTACACAGCTGCGCAATATCTGGGAGGCTTTTGTTGGTACTTTAAAACGTCAAGTTAAAAAACCTCCAGTCGATTTAGTTCCGGTTTTTACACTAGACAAAACGCTCTGTCAATTAGATAAAGTGCAATTTCCCATAAGAGGGCAGCATGTCGTTGTGTGGTTATGCCAATTCACATTTGCAACGGAGTGATGGAATGGGAAAGGAAGCAATACGTACACTCCAACCCCCACCATGGATAATCGAATGGCAAAATTTCGCACCCAGAGCTGCCCCAGATTGAATAATTATTATTCGGCGCAAATTGAACTGCGTAGATGGTTGTCGCAACTGCGTAAGGTAGAGCAGGTTAACACTGACGAATGTGCACATCACGAGCATCTAGGGAGCAGAGGCGCTGGACCAATTAAGTCAATTCACCGTCGTCAAGTGCGTTATAGATGACTCCATAATTCCCACGACCCAGTGACAAACGATCCGCGCAGCTCGCCTTCTCGCAAAGCCTCCTCCAATCCTAGACATTCACTTCTGCTAGCTTTTCAAATCTCCAGCTCTCCGTACCTTCAACAGTCAATGTGGTGGTTAGAAGTTGCTGGCAAGTAAAAGAACAACTACCATCAAACTGCAGACGACACCACATCAGCAGTGAGACTCGACAGCCCACTGGCTGACACCATCCAACCTCACCTAAGTCCTTCACTGCTTTGACAAAGACAATGGGAAGAATATCGAAACCCTCTTGTAAATTCACTGCTCGTATGCACACAGCACAATAGCAATTACAATAGAAGTGGTAGCAACAGCAGCAGCCCTAGTGGTAGTTTTAATACTAGTAGTAATCGTACGTAATAATAATGATAGCAATACATAGTAACAATGTCACACGCATGCACATAATAAACTTCAAAACGCAAGTGTTTGCGCGTGCAAGCGTGCGTGCGTATGGCATACAACGATCATCAGAGATAAAAAAGAGGTAAAGTGAGAGAAGTTGGCATTGGTGAGGACGGAGAACCACTTTTACACACTCAAAGGGAAGTGGAAGAAAGCGGGATGGTGGATGGGACGATAAAGTAAACGAGAATTCACCCAATCAACTCAGTGTAGCTGCAGCAGGAACGATAGTCTTCGTCTCGGCGGCTGGTTGGGGAGAGGGTGTGGGAGCAGCTGATACTGCCGTGCCTCCCTGAGATTGCGACATTGACGGCGTGGAAGGTGCTTGGTTGGATAGCTGGCTTCCGCCACCAGAAGTGACAGTGCTGCCACAATTGTTACTATTGCTACTATTGCCACCACCGTTATTGCTGCTTTGTGGGGGTGTGAAGTTGGAGATACAGCTGCGCGCTACGACGGTGACGATGCTTCGATTCACAAAAAAAAGCGCAGAAGGAAAGGGATTAAAACCGGTTGTTTACACCCTCGAGGTGTGACTACATCTGGGAATCGTTACAGGATCCGGTCAATGAAACACGAGGTCAGCAGAGTATTATCGCAGCATGACCTTGGGTGAAGTTCACAATTAAAGCACAAATTACTATAGTCTCCCGCTTGGGCTTGCGACGCACATTCAATAAAACTCACCGCACCCCAACTTCTCGCCCTTTCACCTAGAAATATGTATAAGTTATTTACACCTCTTCCCCTACTGAAACAACTCAACCTCCTTCCTCGCCTTCTTCTCCGATTTGATAAGAGAGGTTGCAACTGAATCGAGCAAACTGAAAGAAAACGGGACCGAAAAGAAGGAGCGTAATCTCAGTCAAACTAAGGGAGAATGATCATGTATGTGCATTGATATATACGCAACTTACTCTTCCATGTCTCTGTGACAGCGCGCAAACCCATGGTCCCAGTAGTGGTAGGTGGGATTCCGCAACAACTCCGCAGAAGTCATCAGCAGGCCCCAGGGATGTGGACGATTCACAATTAAACGCTCCATCAACACTCGACTAATTTGCTCTTTCACCTTCTGCATCGGTAACTCAGCAAAGAGATAGAGGAGACTGTAGGAGAAGTAATATGTATGGGAATTGAGATAGCGCAATTGATTAGCCATGCAATTGAGCAGGAGGTAGCGGCCCTCATCGTCCAAATTCACAATCAGAGCCTGAAGAATCTCCATTTGCGGTGTATTTGCCACCGAGCCTACATTGAGCGGCGTCCCTGAGTCACGCAGGCTTCGCACCGCAGTGATACAAAGATAAAGCACCAAATCAGTCATCACCTCTACGTTGTAATGCATACAATTGGCAACGCCGTACGTAGACAGCATCTGAGACCCCAAAGATGCCCAAAAGGCTGCCATGTTTGCTTGCTGAGCAGCTCCCACGAGCACTGCGTGTTGTTGGGCAGCTGCTGCAGCAGCTTTCGCTGCTGCAGCTTTCTTTGCTTTTTTGCCCTGAGGAGGCGGTGGAGGTGGGACCGCCTCCTGCCCAGACGCATCCCCACCATCAGAGTGTTCCACATCCAGTGCCGAGGTGAGAAGAAGGGGAGGAGAAATGAGAAGCGCAGCTACCGAATCAACTCGGCGCAGCATTAAACCGAGTTCGGAGAGGAGCTTGGCAGGTGATCGGGAGGAAAGATAGGAATCGATCTCTGACCGAAGAACGGGTGGTAGGCGACTACCGGCCTCCATTGTGTAGCCAACAGGATCTTCCAATTGAGACAGTTGGTTTACTGGAGGTGCGTTGAGAGGATCAGTAGAGGAAACGCCACGTCTGGGCTCACTTGAGAGGATGAGATTACGCAATTGAATAGCAGACGACGATATAATGTTGCAGAAGAAGAGGCAATAATCGGATATAAAGTCTGGGAAGTCGTGAAAAAGCACGAGGTAAAGACGGAAGGTGGCGATGAAAAGTGACGTGACGTGCTTGAGCGCAATAGCATTCTGCAAATAAAAGGCCAGGTAATTGAGCATATCAGCCAGCAACTGAGCGTACACAGCACGGTAGGCAGCGCGCAGTCGGGGAGACACTGAAGCTCCTAGAGTATGCGACACAAAACAACGATGACCAATCATCTCGAGAAAGGCTAATGTGAACTTGGCCACCCGTGTTGGCCGCAGCATGTGAAAAAGTTTACCAAAAGCGATGGGAATGTACTCGTGCAAGGTAAGGTTCCTTAACTGAACATCCCCTGCCTCACGTGAAGAGGTAGCTGTAGCGGAATTAGCAGGACGAGGAGGAATGGGAACATTGTTGTACAGATCCATGAACAACATCACAAGGATGCGCTCAAAGGGCATGGGATGGAAGAGCTCGGGTCGAACTTCATGGCTCTGCATAAGCGTGCCACCAATTATACCCAATACTCGACTCAATAAGGACATTTTAGGATTGCTAGCTTCCGTCACATTCTCCGCTGGGCCTTCAGCCCAATTAACCACGTAACTTATGAGACGCGCGTAGGCGTCCAACTCAATGTAGACACTGTTGTTCCGCGTGTTGCTCACCAAGTTGGAGGAGGCCTGCTCAGTTAATTTAAGATTGTTCAAAGTTCTCTCAACCACATAGATGGTAGCCAGCCGAAAGAAGCGTATTATACTCTCGTCAGAGGAGAGAAAGCCCATCCCGATGAGGTTGTTAAGGGCCTGTTCAGCTGGTGATCCAACCTCTGCCTGTTCAAGAGGATTGCGATAAAACTCCACCCACCAACGGAAGTAGTTCTCTGTTTTTGCCTTCATCTGCTGAGTATCATCAAATTCGCGAGCACGCGAACAACCGATAAAAAGAGCCGCACACTCCGCAGAATCATTTTCATGGAAGAGATTTAAGGGCTCCGTTTCAAAGAGACCCCAATCCATGAGAGCTCGGATGCGAGCACAGGAAAGTCGAAGACGCAAGTTAAAATCACCAGGAGCAACAAGCGTAGCCCGCTGCTGCGCATGAAGAGCTTGAATAGTAAGCCAAAGATCGTACTCGTTCAGAACGGTGAATTCGCGTTTGCTGGTGACCGTAAAAATGCTCCCAAGAGAGGAGGAAATAGTTCGCGTCGCATTGCTTGCCAACTGACTAGCAGTCACGGCATTAGCACTGTCAACAGGTAGTGGAACAGACGGAGATCCCATAAAGATAGGCAGAACGAAGTGGTCTAGCAAATTGAGGACAAATATTGTCGCCATCGTGTGACCAGAAGCGACTTTACTCGCCAGGAAGGCGTCAATCTGTGTAAGATAAAGAACATGAACTTTCAGAAGCTCCGCAAAAGCCTCCCAGTTCCACTTGCTACTGCCAACGCTAAAACCTGCAGACTTGTTAAAATCGCCTCCTGTTGAAACCCGAGTCCCAGACTTCGCCACAGCAAGAGTAGCAAGTGTGGAAAGCTGTTCCACTTTTGAAGCATTCGTCAAATTGGAAGAAGCAGATCGCTGAATGCTCGAGAGTTCCGCATCACCGTCCGGCAATTGGATCCACGCGTTCGTCACCTGCTTAGTAACCCAAGTGTTTTGTTCACAAGAGAGCAGATGTCGTAGAGTAATCATGTGAGCCTCCTTGAGGTGTTCCATAACTTGCAGGCCGCCAGGTTGCTCATTCCATTGCGAAGGATGATAATGGGTGAGAAGTGACTGAATGAGAAATGCAATTATTCGAACACAGACATTTTCACTTCCGGAAGCGGAGCCACCACCGCCAGAGCTGCCACCACCAACAGTCGTTGCTTTCGCTAGTTGTACAATCTCCACAAGATTCTGCAAGGAGCGCACCATGGGATGTTCTTGGGAGGGAGTCACGGGAGAAAGAAGCTTCGTTATGTTGGCCAAGTGACGGCGGATGTGCATCACAATGCTATCAAAGAGGTTCATTGACGACGTCGATTGAGGTTGCTGCTGAGGATGTGCCTGTTGCTGCTGATGTTGCGGTTGTTGCTGAGAGGTGACAACGCCAGTATGTGACTGTTGCTGGAGGTATTGCTGCTGTTGATGTTGTTGGAAAAGCAGTTTCGCAGCTACGGCAATCTGCTGAGGTGTTCCAGAAGTTGATACCGAAGAAACCGCAGGTTGAGGAACCATCGAGCCTGACGCCCTCTGAAACATCTGCTGAGCCTGCGCGGCTGCAACAACAGCACCGGTCGACACCGGAAGCGGAAAGTGACTGTTCTCTGGAGACACAGAGCTAACCAATGGGGCGAAGCCCGGAATTGAGCGACCAAACTCCTGGTACACCTCCAGACGTATGCTGTTCAATAGATGTGCATTAATTCTTACACACTCAGGAAGGTTCTGATGACTATGAGTCATCTGTTCCTCAAACCGACGTGGGCCCAGTTCCTGACGGAGCTTCACATCCGCCTCTAACTTCTTTTCCACTTCCCAAACTGCGCGCTCTGCAATAGTCTTCTGCATGTAAGCCACCGAGGCCTGAGCAGCTCTAGAAGCCACAACCATTGCGATGAGCTCCACCGCATCCTTGTCATGTTGGTTACTAAACTTCACAACATTCCAAATAGAACTGATAAGGTTATTGCACAAGCTGACATGAAAGACCTCACGACCACTGGTGAGGGAAGAAGCAGCAGCTAGATGACGTGCCATCTGCTTGGCAGAACACATCATCTGCATGGGCTTTGAATGGAAAGCAAAGTCTTTCCGAATCAACGTCTCCGTTGTTGAGAGAGCCAGTGTTATCGATCGATCCGCCAAAGGACCGAGAGTCTCCTTAATGCACTTTTCAAGCGTAGGCAAGATCACCCCCCGAACTGCGTCCATACGGAGCATATTAAATGCTTTTAAGGCGACACTGCAATTAATATTCTGCACAGATGACTGAGAGAGCGCGTACAACTGCTGAATGATCTCCTCCATGTTGATAGAGGAGCGCACTGTGGAAATATCTAAATCATCGTATTGTAGCAAGGAGCTACCAGTGCCGCCAAGTGCACCAGAATGGGAGAGTTCTCTTGCCTGTTGCGTAGAGCCAACCAACTGAGGAGCTGAAACGACATGAGGCAGACCAGTAGCAGCGGCAGCCGGGTTGTAATTAGAGGTTGGTGTTGCTGGAATCTGCTGAGATGCAACAACCGCTGCAGCAACTTGAGGATATAGCTGCGGTTGTTGTTGTCGTCCAGGCTGTTGCTGCTGCTGCTGTGATTGTGCCAGTGATGGTTGTTGTTGCTGTTGAGGCTGCTGACCAACCATAGCATTCTGCTGCATAGCCACCAGAGTGGGATCCCACTTGCGACGGAAACTATCATCAGCAGTGGCCCCACCACCGTAGGAGTAGATGGAATCGCCGCGGTGAACATTCCCAGCCATGACAGCGGCGGCAGCAGCTGCAGCAGGATTCGACTGAGCACCCTCCAAGAGAGCAGAAAAGACGTTTGAACGTCCACCAGCTGCAGAGCTAGCGGCTGCATACATCTGCTGATGTTGTGATTGCTGCTGTTGAGCAACAGCCAACCTCTGATGTTGTTGGTGTGCCAACGCTGCCAATGAACGAGGGTTACACTCCATGGTGGGAGGATCGTAGGAAATCGACTGCTGGGCTTGAAGTGTTGCCTGAGCCTGCAGAGCTCGCGTCTGATTTGTTAATTGTGATGATGGTGGTGGTGGTTGCTGTTGTTGCTGCTGCTGTTGTTGTTGTTGGCTAGACGAAGAAGTGGTTCCGGCCGACGGATTTACGTAAAAAATGTGCCGTTTCTCCAAGTTTGCCAAATTATTCCGATTTCGCAGATACTCCGCCGGTGCAAGATCTCGCAGTTCATAGCCCAGCATTTTACAAGTTAGTTCAATCTGTATTGCAGCAAATGTAATAGCAAATAATAACATGGAGAAGAGCAAAAAGAGAACAGAAATATAGATACCTCGAATTTCAACTGGACCTTCATGTCACAAACATCATAAAGTTCTCGCAGAACTTTAAGGATAGCCATAGTATAAGGAGAAGGTGGAGCAAAGATGCTATCAACAGCCCCACGAAGAACATTCGAAATGAAAGGGATGACAAAGTTGAGCGCCACAGAACCCTTCTCTTCCGCCTCCAGGATAAGCTCCTTCAAACTCAAATCGTCGTGGAGAATTGGCTTATTTCGTGCAAGCGTTAGGAGACCCAAAAAACGACCCAGACTCTTTAAGCACCCTCGAGCATGAGGATCATCAACATCCGATCGGAGGTTGCGTAAAATCCCCTAAAAAGAAGAAGGTGCTGTGAGATCTGTGACAGAAAAATGAATTTTGACCAAACCCAACCAACCTTGATAGCACGGAAGAGCTCAGAGAGGACAGATTGCCGAGCAGTGGGAAAGCGCTTCTGAACTTCGTCAACGACAGCATCGAAGACCTCAAGGAATGCATTTTCAACAGTGACACGCTTGTTTACTAAATAGTGAGAAAACCAAGGCAGAGTAGACTCCTGTAAAATGCTGCAAAGTTCTTCCGCCTTTTCTTTCGTATTTGAAGGGGCGACATTATTAAAGACGAAGAAGATGCGATCGCGAACGTTTTCATCAGGTGATACAGGCGGTGCAGGCTCTTGCGTCGATGGAGCCTGATGCTGCTGTTGTTGTTGCAACAAAAGTTGTTGCGTATGAAGCGTCGCTGTGCCCTGACCAGCTATTTGTAAGTCCTGAACGTTCAACAAAGATGGTTGATAGATCAGGTTCTGGAGGTGTTGTTAACCCCTTGCCGCAATTTCGATTTAAGCTATGCTACTCTGCACTGTAAAACACCAGCCGCAGCCACGGCAGCTTCTTTGCAATTTCGACTAAAACTAAGTCCTCATTCCCTTTTGGACAGAACAGAACTTGACAGCATGACTGGTTACGTTGATCCTTCATCCGGTTGTGCTCCCCAGGTCCCTTATGGGTTATTGGTGATTTCCAACCGATAACATGAAATTAACGGAAAATCCCAAAATCACCACCTTTGGAAGTTTAGCACCATGGATAATGCGAAAGGGCTCGGTTATGAAACCATCGTAAAACAGGTCGTGATTACAGGTCACACAGGTATAAACACGAAGACTACCAAAACGGCGCCACAATACTGATAGCCAGCACATAAGTCGAGAATCAGCACAGTGTAGCCAATGCTAGGATAGATGGAGGTCGCAAGCGTAATGAGAGTGCACGAAAGTAATTACTGAAAACATTTAATACATTAGCTGCCGATTTATTAAGCAATATAAAGTACTAAAAATAAGCTACACAAGACGAATACTTATGCGAGAATGATAAAAAGGACCACTAGTGACTTTGGGTTTTAGATAACTTGCACGCAGTGGATACCAGGACATCTCACCTCAATAAAAAAGCGAATAATAAGGTTAGAGCAGCAGCGATAATACGCAGAACCAGCGCAGATGAATAAGCACAACGATTTAGAAGAGGTATTTTGGTATTATAAAAAAAAACAACTCACCTTGAGCGACTGTGAACCGGTGAGGTGAGAGTGACTATTTGGTTGCTGGCACTGGAAGCTTTTACAGAAGGCATCTGCGCTTGCAATAGCCTAAAAACGAAGGAAACTATCATTAGTGCTGGCACAAAAGGTAGAACATTTATACAGTGCATAAAGACGCTGTATCCGAGATGCAGATCGTTAAACTTACATCACGCAACTCAGGGGGGAAGTGCTTGAAGGCAAAGCAATTGACCAAATAATTGGTTAAGTTGACGTAACGAATAAACCTTTAATAGAACAGAGGGTGAAAAATTAATAAGTCTGCAGGGAGAAAAACAGACCGAAACATTGACTTACGTAGGCTTGGTTTTATTGAGAATGCTTACAACAGCTCGAAAAGCCGGAGTTTCAGTGTGCAGCTCGTTGGTAAAAAGGAAGACACGATTCAAAAATGCCTTCCATAACATAGAAAGGGCTGACACTGGGAGTCTAAGCAAAAAGAGATTTTAAAAAATTGTATTAAAAGATAGTAGAAGGAGGGATTGACTTACTGGTTGACGAGGCTAGCAAGAATGCCACCATAAAGTTCGGTGATGGAGTGCAACGCATGTTCCGGGTAGTCATGAAGATGACTGGTGACCTCATAGGTAAGAACGCGAAGAATACCATCAAGGAGTTTCTTTTGCCCAGGCGAGTCAGAAGCAGCGTACTCGTAGAGGCACTTAACCATGTCCTCAACGCTGCAGACACCCTGGAGGAGCTTATGGAAGAACGCGTTCACCTGAACGTCTAATTCGCTAGAGAGATTGAGCTCAGGTGGCTCGATATTGAAGTTGAGGTAGATAGAGGGAGGTGGTGGTGCGTTAGCCCCTGCGCCGCCTACGGAGGGCGGGACCGTCCCTGCCATTAATGCCCCGCTTCCGGCAGCGGGAGGACCGCGTTGGATCAGTTTGTGTAAGCTTGCTGCTAACGCCCCCTACAGTGAACGACACGGAGACAGATGAACCTCATTGTTGATCCAGTTAAACCACGCCTGTAGCCAAAAAGAGCTAGTAGTATGGTGCAAGGTAAACAACATTACTACATAGCTTAGTCTATTGAGCAAGCGCCGTAGCAACTTAGAGTGAGCACAATAGTCTCGTGGAACATGGTAATTCAATCACAAATTAAGAAGACCACTAAAAATAGTAAAGTCTAACTCCGTTCCGTTGACTTTTGAAGCCTAAGAATCATCGATAAGGCTGATAAAATTTTTGTTGAAGAGTGGATAGAATAAGTCCTCATTAGTTCTCAAGTAACAGTAAGGTACGCAACAGCAATGACAAACCATGCAAGATAACGGCTATACTGGATAATCAATATGGTTTTCTAAGAAAATCTAGGCGGACTACAAAGACCGCAAACACTGCTTAACTTAAACATTAAATTAAATTTTTCGCCAAATAGATATTAGGCAAAAATTGATTGTTTTAGGGAACCCCAACCTTTACTTATTTGACTAACTAAACTAGCAGATTCACTAATCGAAATGAAGTATGAACTACTTGATACATTTACCTAGTATCACAAAGATTTAGCAAGGTGTACCTTGTTTAATTCGCATTTGGGAAAACTATCAGTCCCGCAATGCAGAATAGCAAGAAATATTTAAGGACCGAAAAACAAACCAAACCCAGGCGAACAACACAGCCGACAACGAAACGGCCCCACAAAAACATCAACTCACTCTGGCTGGATCTGTGTCCCTGGAAGCCGCCCACACGGAGGCTGTGGATGCGGCGATGGTAGAGACAGTGTGGTCGCTGATGCCACAGCTGCCGACTGACGAAGCCCCCGAGAGACTGTAGATGCGATTTAGGTTTTGCAAATAGAATGCTAGGGTCTGATTAGTCTCTGTCACAACTTTCGATGAAACGTTGATCGTTAGGCGCCTAAAGGAAGTGAGAGGGGCGAACACTTAGGAAAGCACAAATCAATGGTCGGGGCTGGATAAGTGTCACATCCCATAGCAATTGGCCAATGGGAGAGCCGCACGTCAGCGCATCAGATGTGAGTCACACAGACTGGCCTTAGTCGCACACAAACACACGTTCACGATTTAAACACACGTGCGACTAATGTAATCCCTTGACACGATGAGGTGACAAAGATTAAATAAAAAGCACAACAGACTGACAAAAGGGACCATCACAATCATCCAGGTAGTAGATGAACGGCAAAAAATCGGGCTGAGATGACATGGCAGGTTCTCTTAAGCATACAAAAAAGGCTTAAAATTATTCCACGAGGTACCAAGATCGCTTGGAATGTCAAATTGCGTATTCGCAATGATACGAGTAAAACGTCGACGCGTCAAACTAGATTTTAGGAAGGGATCACTGCATACCAAAATATCGCAATTAACACCACCTCATAGAATTTGATATGGTTCCCACTTTTCTAACACTAGTGTTGAAAATAGTCGCAAACACGACTCCCACAAATACGAAGGGAATCGGAGATCGCCCAACTAGATCGGTGACGAAGCCAAGATCTCGAGCTCACGCACAAATGTAAACGAACGAGACTTATCAATGTCTCTATCCTGAAAATCAAGGTACAAAATTTGGGTGCCGTGACCGCCCCAAAGCGACCAAGTCACGACAACGGTGACCGACCAGAACGATTAACACAGATGCTACGCATGAATAGCAACCCCAGACCAAAGGAAAACAGAATACGAATGTAGCATTTCACCTAAAAAATTTAATACACGATAATAAAGAACCCAATTAGTGAGCCAACAATAAGATAAAGTGACACTAAAGTGGATAGTTGCACGATTAAACTGACAAAAAAGTGGTATTCAGGACGCCATAGTTAAACCAATGATGACAAGCGTTCTAAAGAGTTGAATGAAAACTACGGAACCAGATTACCGACTAAAGAATGAGTGGCTAATGTGTAATAGTAAAAGCTACGAATGCAAAATTCAGTTTTTTAATGAGACAGTACTTGAAAGGAAAAATGGTCCTAACCGAAAAAAAGCAGAAGATAAAACCAGTACAAGATTTGGATCCGTGTTTGTGCAAAACCGACATCGACATCCAAAGCAACAGCTCAAATCAAGGCCTACAATAATTGATTTGATGAACTTATGGAAATTCTTCGAAAGCAATTATGACCTTAATGTAGATAGTCTTAACAGCGAAATAATCCGAAAAAAAAACTTACAAAAACACCCCTTCAAAGCGTTACCAACAGAGATGAGATCATAAAATTCACGTGAATAAGAGTAGAAGAATGAATTCCCCACCGGTCGGGAAAAAATGTGATTCGCATAGATCCCGACTCCACCCGGAGGAGGGGGACTTTCACGCGCACAAAGTAGTTAAACTGAGGCAGAGGGTCAAAACCGAACTTTGCTGTATCCCTTCTGTAACTGGTTGCGAAACCACACGCGCGCACTCAGAACCTAGCACGGAAAACCAAACGAGAAACTGTGCGGATGATAGTGGTGTTAAAGCGAGGAGGGCAAAGAGCGAAACCGACACGTCAGACCACGAGAGTAGCGGGCAAACGAATGAAGCCATGCACAAGCCGTACACCGACCCCTCAGCCAGCCAATCAGACCGCGGAGTGCACACATCCGCACTCGACCGCGCAGACCAATCAGAACACAATCATAACTACGCGCAATCGATAAACTCAACTCAGGAGCGCACGCCACAGCGCACCGCATCAGCTGATCGCGTGCACGACCGCACGCACGTATTTAACACACAGAGCCGATTACCAGGGCACAGGGGGAGGGGGCAGAGAGAATTTAACTATAAAGACGAGGAAGAGCCTTGACCTCCACGGCTGACATCGAGGGGATGCCTGTTGAGATGGGTAACCATACTTATTTTAAGTTAAAATATGCATGCTTACGGGATCAGATTCAAACCACCTATTAGGAACCGCCAAAGTTAGGACAAATGCTTTACGAAAGTACTACATTGCAACATTTGCCCTGAAGTAAAAATAGAACTGAAACTACCAAGCGAAGCAAATAGGTTGATTCGCTGTTCATAGGACTAGATATCATAATAAATGCATTCACTTGAGTGCTCCCTGAGCACTTAAATAAAATCAGCAGAGACGTGTGCAATTGTACCACGAACTCTAATGAAACCTTATAGAGTACACCTCGGACTTAGACTCGAACTCATCTCGAAAGCTAACTGCATCCCCTAAGGACATCTGCTCATCCAAAGGATGTGGTTCACTTGATCAGATCTTAGTTTAATACCTTTGTCCCTTCGGCACCATAAGACGATGTGACAAACTGTCGTAGTTTCGAGAAGATAACAAAAATTTGGGATTGGGGCCCCGCGACAGCCTTGGATACTATAGCCACCAAAAATTGACCCCACATTCACCGGACGAACCTGGTTACATCGAACGTCCATGTTGTTCACTTACTTAGAGCATTTAAGTAGAACCATTTGACACACTAGTTTTGCTGAGTACCAAGCCACCGCCACGTTTTGAAAGTCAGCAACTTAGATACGAATTCTGTGAAGTCAAGCCATCCTCACCCCCAATGGCGGGCAACCAACGATGCAACCGACACACAACCACGGCTCAAGAGATTGAAGAGCAGACTGGGTTGGCATGCCGAACATCGCAGTTCCCAATTTACGATGCTGTAAACCGGACTCGTCGAAATCCTACAAATTGGTAATCAATCAGTTACCTTAGGCATTGAGAGTATCTCAGAACTTCATTACACAAGAAGTGATAACGGATCAATAGGAACAAGAGTTGAATATCACTGTTGAACATAGCAAAAAACAAAATGCACGATAGTTGAACAGAGATTAGCGAAAAGTTTAACGATGCGGGTTCTACCATCACCACCGAATAGTACTTCCACTCAAGACGAAACCTCAGTTATATCCAGTGCTGCCTTTCATGCTGCTATGACTTACTAAGATCTCAAAGAAGACTTCCGATGCCATACCTGAGATTACCTCTCCTGAATGCACAGCTGGTGTGTTTCGACAACATTGAAGAGCGACGCAAAAAATCGGAGTTAGTATCCGTATCATGTATCTTCATTGTAAAAGGAGGAAACAATTCAATGCTGAATGCGAGAGCACTGAGAAATGTTTAGAACGCAGCAAAACAATCGCATCAACGGCGACTTGGAAAATACAGCATCATTCGCTTTCGGATTCGAATTCCACAGGAACTGATTGGATCAGAATCAATTAATATGCCATAGTGCAAAGCTAATCTAGAAAAAACCAGAACGCCAACTTGGGATATGTCTCACCAGCTTTAAGTAAGCAGAACATGAGCTGTTTTGGGTGCATTAACGAGAGGCATTGACTAAGCAAAAAAACGGACTGTCAAGTTGTCTGAAGCGTCGAAGCCGTAATACAATGGCTCCGCGATTGTTATCCCAGCTTTCGCGCATCCATTACTAGCTTAAAAACGTAATTTCACTTCAGTTACTGGCATTCAACATGTTTCCGCCTTTGGGATAATTTGTACAGATTTCATAATATTACGAAATGGTCACTTGATATTCTTTAGATTCATGTGCTAGTGCAGATTGATGTCCGACTAGTGGCTCCTTAATGGAACCAAAAGAACAACACCGAAGGCTCAAACGCAGTGTTTGGACGGGATTAAAATCAGGGAACTTGAAAATCTGATGCGCCGATAGACGATCTGACAGTTCTTTTTAGCCATCGTATACGTCCATATCTTTGCTTCTCAAAATTAAACACCCTTATTTAAATGTCCCTCTTATTTCTCCTTCTTGCCGAAGATCCTTAAACAGTAGAAAAAATAAATGGAGGAAATGTTGACAAATAACTGGTTTCTGCCGACAGAAATGTCTTCCATTTCCCATAAACTCAAGCGCTCCAGCCTAACTCCCGCTGAAGATGGCATCCTCGCCGAAAGTTCTGACAACATGCCTTGCTGTGTCTCAGGCAAGGCTACTGAGCATGATGACCCACCTGAGTGCTTTGCGAGCAGAGTTAATGATGTGTCGGATGATGAAGGCAGGGGGACGACGAAGATGGACAGGAAGATGGCGGTTGGCCTCCAGCAGTGCTGAAGGCAGTGGTATCGGAGCGGTGGAAGCCTGTGAAAGCAATGGTGCTGACGACACGTCTACCAGCGAGGGATAGCGCCGGCATAGGTATCGCAGCAGCTCCACGCAGAAGGCGTCCTGCGATAAGAAGGATAACCAAACCTAATCGACGGTTCGGCACTAATACTCAATCTGCTGTCACAAGGTCCCATTCTGGGTTCACTTAGCTCACGATTTTACTCTAGCACACATAAGTATTCATCGGTCTTCCGCTCCCTTTCAACTGTAGGAAAACAGACGTGAAACTCACAGCATCCTCCTTCTCACCAGTCATCTGCTCAGTGAACCAGTTGGTAAGAAACGAATCCAGAGTCGTCTGAATGGATGAGATAGGTGCATTGAGAAGTTGCTGGAGACTGCCTTCACTGCCACAGTCCCCGGTCCCCATAAAAGCCTTTACAGCGTCCACCATATACACCACCAAACTAAAGGCCAGATCGAGGAGAGCGGCCACAGAGGGTGACTCCGAGACTTCTGCAAACCCACTTACGTCAGGCGCTCCTTCGGCGGTAACCCTCCCAGGCCAGAGTTGGGACACGGCTAACGAGACGGGTGCCGCTCGGCTGCCAAGCAGCATCGCTAGTGGCATCACCAAGTCGCTCCGAATAGGTAACAATACGTCAATAAGATTGAAGAATGTTGCTTGGGTAGAAGAAGAGAGGGGAATGGAGGAGAGCGCCTCGGTGCCGTTAGAGAGGGTGGTGACACCCCAGGATTCCACGAGGTTAAGACAGGTTGTGAGGAAAAGGCTCCGTTGAAAGCGACGCTGTGCATCAGTCAGTTTCGGCTGCCAAAACAAAAAACAGAAGCGATAGATGCAAGGGAAGGTTGAAATGGCTAGAAAAGGGAAAGCTTACCAGTGGACCAGTCCAAACGGTTTGAAGAATGAAGTGAGAATTCGTGTGTGGAAGAAGAAAGTGTGCAAAGGCTAGCGAAAGCATTTTACATTTCAACGGAACCATTTCCGGCTAAAAGGGAGGATAATGGTAACTCTCACTCAAACTGAAACGGATGACAAATCTAGTTCTACTTACGGTCGCAAGGAGAGTTGCAGTGAATATATCAGGTGAGTAATTGAAACCTTGGTCAAGAATACTGCGAGCCTCATTAAAAAAACCAACCGTGGAAATATGAAGCAGGGCAGCCACAAAATCCGAGTTCTTCCTGGCAATCCAAAAAAAAATTGAAATGCACACAAATCGGACTACACAATAGAGTTTGGTAAGCCACCTACCAAATCTGAATGGTCGGAGTTTTATCCTCAGTCCCCAACTTAAGGCCGCTAAGATGAGCCGTGGAAGAGTGAACAAGCACGTTTGTTTCAGGATGAAGGCAGCATTGCTGAAAGAGGGATAACTGACCACAGGCATTTCTCCATGGACGATAGAACATTTCCCACGAAACGTCCCGTTGACGGTCAGCCTCATAGACGAGAAAATGTTTCAAAACCGATAAACCCGCCTGACTTGGGACGTGAAAGTAGGAGCAATCGAGCTCACTTATGACCTATACAACAGAGAGCAAGGAGTTTCCAGTGTGGTAGGTGGAACAATATTCAATGTTATTAAGAAGACTGAACTGACCTGAGAAACTGAAAGGTCAGGATTCATGCAGTGCACCCAATCGAGAAAGTTCTTTACAGACCACTCATCAGCTGCTGGATTAACTACGGTAGAGGAGAGTTAAAATGGAAGGAAACGATAAAAAAAGAGAACACTAGTGGACGAACTAACCTGAAAAATTCTCAGGAAAGACCGTGTTGGTGGAGCGAATAAAATCGACGAACTCTTCAGAAGGAAGGAAGGACCTTCGACCGGCTGTGCGAATCATTACGCATATGCTGCGAGCGACGAAAGTGTTCGTGACATCCTCCGATGAAAACTGACTTAGCAGACACTCAGTCACCTGACACCTGGAAAAATATAAACGCTGAAATGTCTGTCTTTCAAATGTTGCCATTAGACAAATGAGTCAGATTAGCGAAGATCTGAAAGCCGAAATAGTTACCCCTGGAAATACTTGCTTAACCATATCAAAGTAGGTGGGAGAAGGAATTGGTTACGATCAAAGAACTGACGTAGAAAGAGCCATGAAACCGAGATCCTCGAACACATCAGCAAGAAGGAAATTAGCGGATCCTTGAACCACACTCTCCGCCTTCTTCGACGACGGCCCAGTAAAATCCATCAACTGATTGGAAGGGGTAAGAAAGAACGCCTCCATTGTAGGCGACGGTGATAACTTCAAGTCTACCTCATCCTCATCCCCGTCTTCATTCATAGCGTCAGGAAGTATACACGAAGCAGAAAGGCAACAACCAAGCGAAATCGGAACCGCAGAAGCACGTTGTATACCTACAAAGCCGAGACAAACCGATTTTATACCAGCAGATCCGAAGAACAATTCTGGTAGTGCTGGTGTGAGACTGTGTCCTCTATGTGTGTTTGCAAGTATGAGTATGAAGCATCAGATTCTCTTAAACTCTCGGTGCAGAAATAAAAATCTCGTGCAAACACATATCTAACACCTTAAAAATGGAAAACAATACCTCTCCTAAGAGCCGAAACAACCCTCAAAGAGGAATGTCGAGAACTGGTGAGACGGAGGAGATGGACGAGAAGAAAATTCACCCTTTCCACTCCAAGTTCTTCAAGCAGATTAGCCCCAAGTTCAACCAGCTTATCTTCATTCTCCAATAACGAGCCGCCTATAAATCCAGATACGATATCGTTGAAAGCAGTGCAAATCACACCTCTGCTTCGTCGCAAAAAGTGTATAGCCCACCCTGGTCAGATAAGGAAAGGAATTTTGAGTTTAACCAGTCGGTGAAACATTGTTTCACATCAGCATCAGTTGCGTGTGTAAGTGAGAGACCCAATGATAATCCTGTGGACATAGGTAGACTATCAAGTAAATTTAGGATGCAGACAAAGAACGGATGGCGCTCATGCTGCGTTGAAGCATATGATAGTCCATTGTTAAGCCGATTTAGATCCTACGAGAAGTACAAGAGAAAGAAATTCAAATACATGATAGTATTTGATAGTATCAAAATGGAGGGCAAAATGGATACCTTTGGGGTATTCGTCGATGACTGAATGGCGTAGCATATCAATGAAGTGAAATTGGGTTTCGACTGCGATTTTCGCAGTCCCTGAATAAGATAAGATAGCTAAACGAAACAGTAACTTCTCAGAAAATAAACGTACCTGAAGGGAATCTTTGGAAGACATTTTCATATCACATTGCGATAAATCAATAATTGAAAATAAACAACGCAAAAAATTGCGCTCAACCGAGCCTGGATTTTGGGCGCATAACTAAAAAAAGATGCCAGATAATTCCATTGAATAGCACCAAAACTCCGGCAAAAAACCACAATCAACGTGAAATAAGTTTAGCGAAACATCACAAAAACACTTTAGTGCCAATGAAAGTTAGTCCACCTGGACAACTTTAAATTAATTTATCTGATCACTAACGGTTGGTGTAATAATGCATTCATCAAGCGAAGCCTCGAGATAAAACAAGTTAGATACGTCGACTATGCTATACGGTCAAATTACCTCGAGAATCTCAGAAAAGGCTGCCTTATTACTCTTCTTACTCAAAACATAAGCTAAATAATCTATCTGGGAGATAGATAACGAGAGGCATTCCGCCCCAAGCATGACCTATCCGCTAGCCAGTTTTTCAAATTGTCTACTCAATTTAATACCATTTTAAATGCTGCAATGCGTGCCTATGATCTGTTGGTTGAAACATCAAACACTTGGTTGGAAATTAAATAAGCACCTGGATTGTTATAAATTAGTTCGAAACCTCCTTTCTGTAAAAAGCACTAACGCACTGCGCAATGCATCAATATGTTTACGGTTAACCAAAACGAGCATATACGAAAAAAAAATGAAGCGATTGCTTTAAGATTTGTCTAGTTCATGTACGCATGGCTGGTCTTTGGGCCAAGGTGAGGTTCGAGCCCTTCGTCTGCTCTGGAATTTATGTATTCGGTTCCTATTACCGCCTTCTACCCTGCGGAAGGCCTCGGGATTATGCAGACTGTTCTATCTTAAGAATAAGGAGTTAAAGTTTGCCACTTTGAACCGTCTGTTATGGCACAACTCTTTTTATCGGATGTGCATTCCAATCCAGGTATCCTAGCGCAATATTTTGCGTACCGAGACCTCAAATTTACAAATAAGAGGAAGTAGAGATGGCTTTGCAGAATCTCGAAACTTTACACCGGATGGAAGAAGGCATTAAGTGGAGTTGAACTTATGTGTACCAGAAAGAACAAGGATATTAAACCCGACAATGGCTCAAGTACTAAAGTATCCGTTAGACAGCAGGTAGTCAAGTAAATAAGGTATTACAGGCTCTTTAGTGGGTTTATCCAATAAGGGAAGAATTGAGACTTCCTTGTAATTTGAAGGCTCATCAGTTCGTTACTAAAAGCGCCACCTTTCAGGCAGACGGACAAAACGGGTGGTGCGCAATTCTTTGCCTGATTTCTACCCATGATATACATGAACATCTTTTTGACATTACAATTCACTAAAGTAATGTAAACCATCATGTTTTAGAAGCACACATGCCAAGGCTTCTGCTGTCATGATGGAGGTGAGGCTTGGAATGTCAGCACGTGCACACAAGTTTCCTCTTAAGAGCACTGTAGAGTTTTAAGACTTCCCACTATGTAGAAGAAGGCATTAAGTTGGGTCGAATATGTGCATTCTAGGTGTAGAAAACGAACCAAGCATGAGTTTGGCCCGAAGGCCAGCCCACATGCACAAGGGCCAGACGAATACCAAAGCAACTGCC